AGAATCGATCGATGAATACGAAAGTGCGTATGTAAAAAAAAAATTAAAATAAAAATAATTAAAAAATAAAATAAAAAATAAAAAAAAATTTAAAAATATCGAAAAAACAAAAAAAAAAAAAAATTCAATTTCGATATCCGAATTGATTTTCGATATTCAATTTTCGAAATCAATTTCGATATTCGTTTGAATAAACTTAAAAATTTTCAAATATTTGAAATGCAATTTGTATTTCATATAATTTCTATCGTCTCCTTCTTAAAAATGATGTTTGAATTCTCCATCCCTATACAAATCATGCACTTCATAAGCCATTCTTGAAAAGGTGCTATTTACAGTACCGATAAAAACCCCACCGTAAGATACTATAAGATAATCAATTATAGGTATGTAAAATTTAAGTAGGTCAATATTCGGAGCAAAATTACTTGAAGTTTTACCAAATTTTTTTAAATCGGTGTTAAAATCAATTAAAGTAAAGATACATGGAAATCTATCATATAGGAATTTAAGTGTTTTGATGGGTTTTTTCGCATCCGTTGCAATGTAAATAATAGGTAAATTATGAGCTAAACACTCCTGTAGACTATAAGTCGAATATTCCTTCTTCTTTTCGTTACTATTCAAGTAACTAGTATCTAAAGATGGAATTGTGTTGTTTTTAAGGAATTTTTTTAATTCATCATTGATGAATTTTAAATTTTCTTTTAACCGATTTTGAAATGATCCATCACCAACTCTGACATGTAAACCAAAGTAAAACCCTTTTCCACCTAATATTTGCATGATTTTGTTACTTATATTCAATAATTTCGGATTATTAATCATAAAGTTACTATGGATTAGATGATTAAAATGAATATTCTTTGGTTGTTCCAATACTATCCTATAATGACTAAATAATGAATGGAAATGTAATAATTTTTTGTCGATTTTCAATAAATCTGACGTAAAAAATTTCTTCTTAAATCGTTCCAGACCCTCCTCGGAATGATCATTATCGAAATATCTAAAACCATAGTGTTGACTTTCAACGATGAAAAAGGTCTCATTTTTTGATGTGGAAAATTGTTCTAGTAAAGTATCCAATGAGAAATCAT